GGTTGGGTTTGGCCTGGGCCGGTCAGGATCTGCCATAAACAACCCACCAGACCCTGAACCCTCACTGGACATGTCCAGCCCCTCAGCAGAAACCCAAGTCGTTCATTTGTTACCGAGGAAAAATGATTGGTAATTGCTTCTGATCTGTGGAGAATTTCCTTTGGAATGATCAAACAGAGAGCGAATCAAGGCAGGCAGAGCATTTCTTTTGGCTCTTTTTTTTTTTCTGGTTTGTCATTTTCTCTGTGGTTTCAATGTGTTTTGTGTGCTCCTGTTCAGGAAGCAGCGTATTTTTTACCTTGAAATTCGGAGTGGTTTTGTTTGTTTGTTTAGGGTTTTTTTCTTTCCCAGATGAATCAGGCCTAGTCCGGTGTTATCCTACAGGACTGCTTTGGTGCTGGGTCAGAGAGAGAGAAGGGGAATGACTTTTCATTCTCTTCCAAGCAGAAGTGGGAGATTGTCTTGCCCCTCCTCAAAGCACTGCAGGCACATGGGAGTAGCTCAGTGCTGGCCCAGTTCTCTGAGAAACACCCATGGGGGGAGGTTTAAGTCTTAATGACAATGCTCTGGTCTCTTGGTGGCAAAGACTGGGTCCTACAGTCCCAGCCTGATGAGGGAGAACAGGAGCTTCTGTTCTTTGTGGCAAACTTTCTGTTACTCCTTGTGCAGTCTTTTCTTTCCGTTATATGTGTTACTGTCCAGAATCTCTCCGAGGAAAGCTGTTAGAAATTTAAAGGTAGGACTGGAATTTGGGTCTGTTCCCTACAAACCCTGCAAAGCCTGAAGGACCGGGCTGATGACTGCTCTTAACAAAGGTGGTTTATTAATATTCTGTCAGATTTCCCTCAGCTCTGGGCAGGACAGGCAAGGGTTAGGGTCGGGAATTGTGCAAGCAAGACCTGATGATTTCTCCTGTGCATGTGTCAGTTTGGCTGGGCTGGGACAAGGAGGACTCGTGCAGGCACCTCCAGAGACAGCAGGAATGGGAGTGTGTTGTGGAGAAGGAAAATTCCAGGTGGTGGGTGCTGAGAAATTTGTCCTTCCCTTGTCCTGTGCTCTGCGCTTAGCAATGGGTGAAGTGCAGAAGTTTCCTGGGGACCCTGGAAAATGATGCCGGGGTTGCCAAGAAAAGTGGGGCCAAAAGAGCAGGACCTGGGTCTGCGAGTGTGGGAGAAACAAGGGAGAGAGCAATGGCCGGGTCATCCTCTGCCTCCAGGAGGGAGGGCAGCAGGAAAGGCCATGGACTAAAGCACTGAAGTGCTGTTCCCCAGGGAGCCCCTGCACAGCACTGAACTTGCTTCTGCACTTGCTGTCCCTTTCCCAGCGGAGCCGAAGCGTCGGGTGCGGGTGCCGGGGGGATGGAGCTGCCCAGGACAAACTGGGAGGGTGTTTGCGAAGGAAGGGGGTAGAAGGAGCTCTTGACGTGCTTTTTTTACTTCTTCATCCCACAGAATTGCCACGAGAGGAAATACCTCAGAGGGGCTTCCCTCCAAATAAGCCCTGAATATGCCAGGAGGTTTCAGCTGGGAGAATGGAGCTGTGGAAGAAAACCACCCTAAAAATAGCCAGTGGGGATCATCAGGTTTTCCAGCCAAGAAAAACAAGGACGGAGATGAGGGAATCAGGTTCCAATTAATAATGATTTGGTGGGTGTAGGAATGATTTCTGTATGTTTTCCAGTCCCTTTTGATGATTTTAAAATCATGGCTTTAGCAATCAACTAAATTGGAGATGTTGTTTTTGAGAGGAAATGATGCCAAATAAATGCAGAGAAAGAGCATGGAATCATCCTGGGATCCTGAAGTGGTTTGGGTTGGAAAGGATCTCAGGGATCATCTCCTTCCTCCCCCTGCCACGGGCAGGGACACCTTCCAATAGACCCTCCAGCCTGGCCTTGGCCACTTCCAGGGATGGGGCAGCCACAGCTTCTCTGTGCCAGGCCACCTCCCCACCCTCCCAGGGAAGAATGTCTTCTTCCTTATGTGCAAGCTTTCCCTTTCTTCTCTGCAGGAAGCGGGCTGTGACAAGGGAATTGGCTCCCATGAGGCCCAGGATCAGAGCGGGCTCTGCACAGGGGACGACTTCCACTTCCGAACGGGGAAGGGCACCTTCGTCCCTACCCCCGGCAAACTGGGATGGAGTAACATCTGCCTGCAGCTGGCTGGAGTTCCTGTTGGCTCTGGGCTTTCTGTCCACAGGCCGGGGATCATGGCCAGAGTCATTCAAACCTGGGGAACAGTGGCCTTCACACCATCCCCACAGTCCATCCAGGGCAGGCTGCTGCCCATCGGCCCCTGATCGCAGGTGGATGTAGAAGTGATGGTGTTTAGGGAATGCTGATTGTATTTCCCTGACTTTAGCAACGTGGTCATTAAAAAGAGAAAAATAACAAGTCTATGGAAATTGATTCCTTTTTTGCAGGGAGGCGGTTTGCAAGGACAGAGGGGTTGCAGCGCTCCAGATTAAATCTTGTTTCTATAATGTTAAAACTGTGGGCGAGGCGAGGGGCGGTGGCGGACGGGGCGGGCCCGGGGGTCCCTTCCCCGCGGGGTCGCAGCCGCGGGACTCGCCCCGCGCGGCCCCTCCCGGCGCGCCCCGCCCGTCGTTGGGGGCTGCGGCCGCTCCCGGCGCTGCCGAGGCTGCCGGGGAGGGACCGGCCTGTGCTGGGGGGAAGGAGGTTCGTTCCTTGTGTTCGAGGGCGGCAGCGGGAGCGGCGCTGCGGGGCGGGACGTGCGGGAGGTGCCGGGTGACGGCGGGGAAGCCGCGGCGGGGCCCGGGGGCTGCAGCTCTCTGGCTTCCCGACTCGCTTTGCAGACACTTGCCACCTTCAGAGGAGGCACAAATCCTCGCGGAGCTGAGCAAGGGGTGCGGGGAGTGCAGTAGGGTGCAGCGAGCTGGGCGGGGTTGTGACCAGGGGAGGGTGTGCACAGTCCCCTAAAACCCGCACCCAAAACCAGCCCAAAAGAACCCCAGAGCCCAGAGCGAAGCGCCGCGGGCACCGGCCCCGCCCTCCTGCTCGCGCCGGCCCCGCCCCCCAGCTCGCCCCGCCTCCTCTCCCCGCGCGCCAGCCTGTGGCTCCACCCGCCCTTCTCTCCCCTCCCATGCGGGACAGCCCCAGGTGTGGCAGTGAGGATGACAAAGGGGCGGGACAGCCCCAGGTGTGGCAGTGAGGATGATGAGGGGCGGGACAGCCCCAGGTGTGGCAGTGAGGATGATGAGGGGCGGGCCGTGCTGGGTGGTTATCTGGGGCACTTTTTGTCGGGAGCTTCTGCAGGGGAGCAGTCGATCCTACGGAGTCTGTCAAGCAGTGGTGGTGAGAGCATCTCGCAGGAGCTGGGGGAAGCGCCAGATGTACCTGGATTATCGCTCGAGGAAGGTGCCGAGGGATGAGC